TATAATAAAACTAACAAAACTGCTCCAGTTATAACAAGGCAGTCAAACTCAGCAACCAAAAATGGAGGAATCATTGAAGTACATTCACTCACTCAAAGGAGAAAAATTAACGTAAGCAAGCTTTTTACACACCATTGATGGAATTTACAAAAATTACCCATATACGATGAAGATTTAGTATACCAACACTAGTGTTTGCCAGAAAGATTGAAGGGGCAGCAAAGAAATATCTAGCAGCAGCCCTCCAACTGATTGAAATGATTGCAAAACTAGGCTTGAGCGTCGTTACAGATCATCAAAAAAGCAAATGACGTTAATTTAAAAGCAAGTAGTATTTTAGATTAAGCTAATAAAATTAGGCTTATTGTAGAAGACATTGTAGACTTTGTAGCATTTAACGGAAATGATCGGGTAATGAAGGATATATTTTGCGGAATGTTCGTGCAAAAATTAAAGAATTAGTTTCAGGTTCGTTAGCATATGCTATTATAGATAAATGTATTTTGCAAGAAATTAGAAAATAATAAAAAGTTTTATAGGTTTACACAACAGTAACATTAATTTGTCAAACAAAACGAATTCCAATTATCATAGCAAAAAGAGGTAGAAATTTTAAAAATAAAAATGGTTACTCCAATTAATAATTCCAATTGTAATAATTATAATAATCAAAATGATTCGCGCATAAGAAATAATAATTCTAATATATTTAATAACAGATATTTAATAACACATAATAATAATGATAACAACAACTGTAACGGCTATTATAATAACAGCAGCAATAATAATAATAATAATAATAATAATAATAGATATAATAGTTATGGCCAAAAAGCCTATTTTAAAATAGGTACAATAGGACCTCAAGTCGAAGATTGAAAATAAGAATAAAACCTCTTTATTTTTCTACAATAAATGGCAAACGCAGCATTAATGAAGAAGTTCCAAAAAAATTTAAAGCCCCTATCTGGAGTTTTAATACGATGGAAGGTAAAGTAATTGCCAAATAGAAAATATCAATTTATAAAAGGGTTAGATTTGCTAAAGAACTTCTATAGTGTTATAGATTTTGTAAAAATGAATATGAATTTGAATGAGCGAAATAAGCCGTATTTTTTCCACGAAATTTTGTACTGTGGAAACTGTAAATCTTAAATTTAACTTATTAAAACCAGATCATTTTAACTAAGAAGAACTATCCGAAGTAAAAAAATTATTTAATGGATTCAATAACTTATTTTTTAAAGAGTGACAAACTAACGAAAACAACAGAAATAAAACATGAAATAGTCGGCACAACAAACCAAATTGTAAACGCAAAAATGTATAGGTACCCTCCCAAACATGAGGAAAAGGTTACAAACCAAGGTAAACAAAAATAGCGCATTGTTATCGAATTGAATGAAATTATGACAAGTTCGCAATCCCACGTATAGACTCTATATTTGATAAGTTGTTTCGCGGTCAATATTCCACTTTAGACCTCGCCAAGGGGTTCCACCAAATATTAGTAGATGAAAAAGGTCGTCTAAGGACTGCGTTTTCTACACCGCAGGGACACTTTTAATTCGTACGGATGCCATTTGAATTGAAGAATGCTCCGGCGATTTTTTAAAGGATGATCATATATGTTCTAAAGCACTTTATTAGTCGAATTTGCGTCGTCTATTTCCTTCGACATCCTTATTCTTTCTACATCGTTATAGGAAGTAAGTATTCATATATATGTATATATATATATTAACAAAACAAAATATAGAGGCTATAACAAAATATTCTCCAAATTTAACTTAAAAATCCAAGTGGACAACTATAAATTTTTCTTGAAGGAAACTGAATAGCTAGGACACATATTAACCCCAGAAGGAATAAAACCTAATGAAAATAAAAATAATGTAGCCAAAGAAACAAATCTCCAAATCAAAGTTCATCAAGGACTAAGGTAACACAGCTTATGACTAAATACGACAATGAAATATCATATAAGAACTCCATTCAGAAATCGAAAGATCTATAAACGAGCTATTATATATTTCGCTATCCTGATTTTAAAAGGAAATATCTTTTTGCAACGGACGTCTCAAATTTTGCAATTGAAGCGGTGTTTTCGCAAGAATCAGTCTGCTGCTTTAGGAGAACCCTAAACAATCATCAATGCAATTACTGTACTGCGGAGAAGGAAATTGTTTCCATAGTATAGGCCACTATTTATACGGCACAGAATTTCTAGTAAGGATGGACTATTTAGCTTTAAAGTGATTGCATTCATTAAAAGAACCCAACGCCAAGTTGGCAAAACAAATTGAATGAACATGAATTTATAATAGATTATGAAAAAGGAAAAGAAAATTGTGTTGCTGATTTTCTTAATGGAATGGATGCTTAAAATAACAAAATTAATCATATTGATAGTCCTACTGAAAATAATAATTTAAATGAGATAACTTCTAATATTTCTGTTAAAATGTGAAACTATAGTCGTCATGAAAACTAGCAGCTGACATAATAATAAGCAATTATTTAACAAAATTGTATGTAAAAAGATAGGGAAATAATTATAAAATACAAAAAGTTTAGGCAAATTTTGATTCGTGAAAGTAAAGTCAATAATAGCCATTATTTAAATACAAGCTTAGGAGATTTATTAAAAATGGAACTATCAATGCTATTAATTCAGAATTGGATGAGAAAAAATTTAATACTGTATAGCTAAAACTTTCTAAACTCTTTTCTAACAATAATAAAGTAAAATTCATAAAATGCACCAAAAAAACAATATACATGGTAGATGAAAAAGAGGTTTTAATGTTAATAAAAAAACACTCACAATGAATTGAACCATCGACGTATCGGTGAAAATTATACACAAGTAAAAGATAAATTTTTCTTTCCTAAACTTAAAGGATTATTTCATAAATATATAAACAACAGCGACATATGTAATCAATCCAAGTATGATCGCAAAATTCGATCCAATAAATACGAAATTAAAATATAATACTCCTAATGAAACTCCTAATAAAATGATTCAAAACATTTAATCAAAGATCAAAACATTTATTGATCCAGCGTCTTAACAACCGCAGTGCAATAACAATCCTACAAGCACTTGACAATAGATTTGCAACATTCGCTAAGCCAAATAAAATTATTCTTGATAATGAGTTCAACAATCTTAACGTCAAAAACTTCTTTAGAAAAGAAAATATAAACGCTCACTTCACATCACGCAGCAGCCATACCGGGGATTCCACAATTGAACAGGCCCACGGAACCTTGGTAAACATCTTTGTATCTAAGATACACAAAAATCAAATTTAATACCGTCAGTAAAGTCTTATTCGCAGTTGAAAAATATAGCAGTTCCATTCACTCCGTAACTAAAGCTAAGCCCATAGACTTTATAAATAATGAAATCGTCCATATTGTCTAGTTAAGTATAACAGAATATTATAAAAATGCCTGTTACATTTTTCTTTCCAATTTTTAGGGCGTTATAAAGCTTTCTTTCATCTAACATGCCTAAAAATTGGTAATTTCGCTTTGTGCTATCCGAATTCCTCTCCAGTTAGTTTCGGTAACAACCAGAACTCAAATATCAAATTTCAAGAAATTCCATGAATTCGTTTCGTAGATATGGTGAAAAATGTAAAATCGTCCCGCGAATCAGTTTTCGAACCCTGATCTTTCCAAAAAATTTATATGTTCATTGTTTTAATACGAAGAATTTAAATATTAAATTTCAATGAAATCGGTCGATTATTTCTCTTTATACACGCAAAAATGTATATTTGACCCGTAGTAAACGTTCAGTTGCTTATACCTGATTTCTTCCAAAAGTTAGGAGCTTTCGCGGACTGAGCTTATATATGAAATTTCAAGTAAATCGGTTGAATATTTTCTTCAAAATGTTCAAAAATATAAAACAGGCCCTCGAAAAAGTGCAGCTCCCGAGGCCTGATATATCCCAAAAATTGATCAATCCGTGCCATGGTGGAAATAAACTTACATATAAAATTTCATCAAAATCGGTTCCGTCGAACTTGAAATACACGCACCGACAGACCGACAGGTTGCTAAAAATAGTTTATTTACACTTCCCTACTATGTAGAAGTGCATTCCCACCGAAAACTCGATATGCAAAATTTGTTGCCATTACATAACCTACCTATTGTTTACACAATACCGTCGTTAAAAGGTTGCTCACCACTGCTCTATATGCAAAATTTGTTGCCATCACATAACCTACCTCATGGATGGCAATTAAAGGGCACGCGTGCCAAACTTGGCACGGAAAAAAAATTTGATGGCACGTTATAGTTGTGCCTCGACAAATTTTTATATAGATTTTTTTTCTAATAAAAAATCTAAAAACTCGTTGAAAAATTTCCTAAAAATGATAATTTCCTAATAGCGAAATGACAAATATTCAAAACCAAACATATTCAAATGTTATATTCTTTTTATTTTTGTTTTTTTTTCACTTCACTAACCCAGCATTTACACGTACAAGTTACTTATAACAGAAGCGAGTTTTGAAATTTCTTATTTGATTGCTAAACACTCGAACCCATTTTCTGACGGAACGTTTATAAAAACACTTATGTTAAAAGCTGCTTCCAGTTTGTTCCAAGATTTCAATAATAAGGAAAAAATTCTCCAAAGAATACAAGAATTACAGATGAGTAGAAATACTATTAAACAAAGAATTTTAAAAATGAGCATTAATATTTCCGAACAACTTCAAACCGATATTAATAGTTGCGATTTCTTCTCAATTTGTTTGGATGAAACAACTGACATAAACTCGTCTGCCCGATTAGCAATTTTTGCACGTTATTCAAAAGGGAATGAAATACGCGAGGAGCTGTTGAAATTAGCAAATATAGCGGAAAGAACAAGAGGTGCAGATATTTGTGAAGTTGTTGTTAATTAAAAAGCCTTAATCTCAATTTAAAAAAAAATTGTTTCTATTACAACGGATGGAGCACCTAATATGACTGGTCCGGCAACAGGGTTTGTTAATTTATTTCAAGAACATGTTGGACATCCGATTATAAGATTTCATTGCATCATTCACCAGCAAATGCTTTGTGCAAAAGTAGGTACTAGCGATTTAAAAGAAGTTTCAGAAAAAGTTAATAAAATTATAAACTTTATTGTTGCACGTGATATGCACAAAAGACAATTTAAAAAACTTTTAAATGATGTCGATTGTGGATATGACACTCTTTTAATGTGCAATAACGTGCGTTGGCTGAGCCGGGCCATATCGTTAGAAAGATTTGTGAGCTGCTTGGATGAAATACGTCTGTTTTTGCGTGAAAACAATAGGGTCGATTTTAAAGAACTTGATGACATAGAATGGCTAACAAAATTAATATTTTTCACTGATTTAACATTACATTTAAAACTCTCTAAATAAAAAATTGCAAGGGCGTGGGAAGACGATTGAAGTTATGTTTGGACTTATAAAGGGGTTTGAAGTTAAACTAGATATTTTGATTAGAGATATCGAATCTGGAAAATTTGAATATTTCCGAAAACTAAAAGTTTTTTTTGATGAAATACACATTTTTGAAAAAACTAATTGGAATTTCACCTATGAATTTACAAATATTCTTGTTTCTATTAAGCAACAGTTTGCACAAAGATTTCTCGATTTTAAAAGGATCGAAAATATTTTAAAAATTATTAATTACCCAGATTTATTTGATATGCAAGATTGTGACAATAACCTCCTTAATTGGATGCGATTAGATAATTTAGAAATGCAAATTATTGATCTGCAATCCAATCCAGTTTGGGTAAATAAATTTGTGAATATGCGGAAGCTTGTTGAAGATTTAGAAAGCCATCGATCCCAAAATGTGGAATCAGAATGTTTCATGGAAAGTAAAATTTTAGAAGCTTGGAATAGTATGCCAGATACCTTTTATTCTGTCAAAAAATTAGCAATCTCGTTGTTAACGATTTTCTCTTCCACTTACTCTTGCGAAAGTCTTTTTTCCGTTTTGAATCATGTACATTCAAAGACTAGAAACAGATTAACAGAGGAAGATTCGGCAGCATGTATTACTCTGCAGTCAACAATGTACCAGGCCGACATAAAAACTCTTGCAAGTAATATGAAACAAAAAGTTTCTGATAAAAAATTAAATTAATATTTTTTCTATCTGTATTTATTAATTTTTATACCTTGAACTATAATATGTATAAATAAATATTATTACAACTTGTCATAATATTGTATTTACCTAACCATACCTGTACTTGGTACTGTGCTGGCACGGGAAAAAGTGTGACAATAAATTTCCCCAAATTTTGGCACTTTGATCAAACCCTATTTGCCATCCCTGACCTACCTTATTGTATACACAATGCGCTCAGTAATTAGGAATTTCATTGATGAAAATAAACGCAAAACAATTGAAAAGCTTAATAAAAATAGGATTGATATTGACTACAAAAGCAAGGATAGGGTTCTCATAAAAAAGCCTGAAGTCTTAAGATATAAACAGATAAATGAATTTCCGTACATTAATTAAAATTGCAAACTGAAAACACTCGACATAACATAAAAACACTAGTACCACATCCACAAAAACGAGGGCCTATAAACTTAAGGGACAGAATTTTGAAATTATAATTTGGAAACTTAGACCATGGCGACAAAATTGAAATTCTTCATTAATACTTTAAATAAAAAGATTAAAATAGATGACCAATTTCAGACAAATTAAAATATTTTACAGAAAGGAATTAATAAAATCAAAAAAATTTAAAGATTACGTTTAGGAACAAACATAACCTCTAGTAAGAACAATAAAAGTTTACAGTTCCTTAATAGTTAAACAAAAATTAACTTACTTAAATCAGAAATAGAAAAGTCCAACAAAACAATTTTTTTGCTAAACATGTTACCATGTCTCATTCAATTTTATCTAATGAAGAAATCGAGTTTCTGACGTTTTTAAATATAAGGAAATCAAAAATATAAGGAAGTCAAAAACTCCCTTAGTCTAGACAATGATATTTTTCTTGCTATCTTAATTCCTAATATTACTAAAGAAAGCGCACTCTGATATAACATCATTCCGTAAATAAATACTGAATCTATTAATATTTTGAAATTTAAAAATGAAATCTACTTTAATTTAAAATTGTAAACAAAAACTTAAAATAATAAATGGTTGCATAAAAAATTTAATGAACAATAAAGAGAATTTGTAAATTTTGAAATTTCCTCCAGTATTGTCTTAGTGAAAAATGCAAACAATGTAATAATAGAAGTTACTTGCAATAGCATACAATGCAATAAAATCTTAATTACATATATATTGTAACGTTATTGCAAAAATTTAATTTAATGTTCAAAAATTTGGAAAGATAAATTACCAGCCACATAATAATACAAACCTATATAGAACCTTATAATATATGTAAGTTATATGCCAAATTTAAAAGATATTAATTTAAAACAAATCGAAAATTATAATGAAATAGAATTTTCCAAATAAAAAAATTAAAAATCTTTATAATTTAGTATGTACTAGGCGACGATTTGCGCTAACATTTATACACAAGAACCACCAATACAAACCAATAAAAATTTTATTATCGCCTCTTTCCAAGCACAAATTATTTTCCTTTTTTTTTACATAAAATAATTATAAAAAAAAAAAAATTTTTTTTCTTTTCAATTCATATGTTAACAATTTATTCATTCCATTACCAAAATTTACTTTTCTTTGACTTTATAATATTAAGTATTATAAACTTTATATTATCAACTAAGTATATAATTTCAACATAAAATTTAAATGTATAAGCTCGATGCGACGGTTTTTCTAATACTGTGGTGTTGATCTGGAATTTTCCATCCTATTTATCCAGAAACGATTTATTCAAACGGTTGTGCAATGGTGATACACCTAGCCAGTCCCACTTTTTTGGTTGATAACATTTTCTTGAACATAGAACAGATGACGCATTTTACTATACTAATGTCTTTATATCTAACAAGTCCCAATGCTCAGAGAGAAACTTGAAAGCACAACCTTATTTGATATGGGTTTTTTTAAATCGAAGTGGCTATTTTTTGAGAAGAAATATTAAAATAAATTCACACTTATTATAAAGCAGGTAAAATTTAGAAAATATATTTGAAAAAACAAAAAAATATATTAATATTTTCATTGATAATTATTTTAAAATTTAAAAAAAAGCGGAAAAACAACAAGCACATCTTTCGCCTTCAACGTTTTATATGTTACGGAAAGCATTTCATTATTTTTAAGTGAACAGCTTTTTTCTCATAGGGTAAGTTAACTCAAGATATGAGGAGTAACTGTGGTGTCAAGTTGAAAATATAATTAATGAAAGATAATTATTGAATATTGATATAAATACATAGTAAAGAAAAAGTTTGAAGAGGGGATTAGAAAATAATATCTAAAATACAATCAAATATTATTTGTTAAATACAAATTTTATATAAACTTCAAAATTTTACCTCTATTTTTATTTGAAAAAATATTAAAAACTTACTATCATTTATATCAATTACCTAAGAAAAAAAATATTAAATGTTTGGAAAAAGCAATCATATATTTTTATGACCGGATTTGAATATTTTTTTATTTTTGAAATAAATGGTATTGTACCAAATGACTCAAAAATTCCGACTGTAAAATAACAGGTATTTTAAAATTTTTGTTCTTTATGTAATATTCTTTCCGTTTAGAATTAAGATAGGTCATACATACACATGCAGGGACATTTTATAAATAGATTGCTCTTGTTTACCTGCTAATAAAATATGAAAAAAGAGCACAGCAAAATTTTTGAAGCACTCAATATAACATGTTTGAAATAGTTTTAAAATAATTATTTAAAAAAAATTTATTGGAAGTAGGTACATACATATTTATTTTTAATAACTTAAAAATTAACTGAAATTATTTGAAACAATTTTATAAGTAACGTATAAATAACCGAAATGAGATAATTCAAATTGTTGAAATGTGTCAACCTATATTACTTTTACTAACATTTTTGTTAGCCAACACTACTCAACTTACCCTTTTGGGAAATACAAAATGTGCATAAAAAATCATACATCCTTCCTCATTAACATTTGAAACCATACTGAAATATGAATTTGTAATTTTTTTTTATTTTTTCTTTCCTCCTACCTTTCTTTCTTTTTCGTGCAATAGAATTTAAATGGGAAGCTTTTTAAAAAATGTGTATAATATCCTGAGATTTTTTAAAATATTAAACTCTTTTTTACTTGAAAAAAAAGAAAAAAATAATAAAAAATATGACACGATCAGTGGCATTTAAACAGCGTTCCCACTTGGATACAATTGTATCCATTTGGATTCATTTTAGCTTTAAAATTTAGCTTGGATACAAAGATACTCATATCTGCTAAAATGTCGAAATTGGCTACATTTTAAAATTTTGCTGAAATATGGATACATTTCTTTCTCGAACACTAAATAAATGTTAGAAAACTTTTAAATTGCTGTAACTTTTAAGTGCATTATCTTCCAAAAAATGTTATTTGCTAACTAAATAAAATTTGCCCGTTTTCGTGCTGAATCGTTTTACCGCATAGTTCAACAGCTACAGAACATATATTTTCTGACCTTAAATTTTAAAATATAATAGAAATTGCGTGTGATTTCTAAAAGAATTTACTATAAATAGCGAAACTCACATTGTTGAATAAAGCAAATTAATATTATTTATGAGTTTATTGGTATAAAATAATACGATTTAGTATAATAATTCTACTTTAGGAGGCTGGATACATTTTGGATACATTTTTTTCTCGAAATTGGATACATTTTGTTTTTATTGAGTGGGAACACTGCATTTAAAGAAAAAACCAGCAACGAAGCCAAAAATTCGTAATATTTCGTAAAAAAAATTGACTATTGGGACTTGTTAGATATAAAGACATTAACTATACTTATAAATACAATGTAATTTTATATACACTGCGCGTGATTTGTGTTGTAATTACTTTATATTATTATATACAATTTTTCCCCTTTTCATATATTTTTCATTTCTTTCGCTCGACAAATAGCTGAGATGATTTATTTTGATCGATTTTGCCTTGCGGCAGCACCGAGTCAACTAAACGAAAGCTATTGAACGAATCTTTTTTGTCTGCAAAATCTCAATCTGTGATTTATAAAAAATAAACAAAGTGTTATGTGGTGTAGTGTTCTAATTTTTTTTCTTGCGAAATTAGAAAATTATGGAACAAAAGTTCCATAAAAATTATAAAAATAATAAAAAAAATAAAATTAGAGATCAACCACGAAAGGAGGACTGACTGCGTTGGACCAAAATACTCAGGACTGAAGTGATTGCAAACCTGAAATATATTAAACAGGTAAGTTGGAGTTTCCTTAATATTTGATCAAATATATGTATATGCTTCAATTTTAGGTTCAGATGAAAAATTGCGCAGTTGGATGCCTATTGAATTCATCAAATAACTACAATCATGTTATTGTTATTAATTTTTTATTCTTTGTTGTTTTTTTATTTTCAGGAAATGATCTGTGCCTGTGACGTTACGACGGAACATTCTCCCGGCCCGGGCATCTGTGGCTGAAGATGACAAAACGATGTGTTGATGTTTTTCTAAAGTTATTATGTTGTAATGGTAATAGCTGTTTTCCATATTCTAAAGTAGCATCCTTTTAGGTTTTTAGGTTCTAACATCTGTAAGTAGAGAACAAAAAAAAGGATGGAAGGTTATAGCGCCTGAGCTCGCTTTTCGGAAATCCAGGATATGGAATTGGGGAAGGAGAAAAAAAATCAATTAATAATCGGAAATTTTTGATCATATCAAAAAAAATTATTAATTTAAATTAAATAGAATATATAGATATATTTGAGTGTAGATTCGCAAATTTTGTATTAGTTACATCTTCTAGTAGTAAGTGTAGATTCGCAAATTTTGTATTAGGTGTTCTCCTAGTATTAAGTGTAGGTTCGCAAATTTTGTATTAGGTGTTCTTCTAATATTAAGTGTAGTGCACGACGTAGGTAGTGTATGCATAGTACGTTACAATGTAAACACATAGTTCCCATATAGTGCAGATATGTAATTTCGATATAGTGTAGGTACATGATTTTGATATAGTGTAGGTGCATAATTTTGATATAGTGTAGGTGCATAATTTTGCTATATTGTAGTAGGTATATAATTCCGATGTAGCGTAGGTACATAATTTCAATATAGTGTAGGTGTACAGTTTACGTTCGCGATTTTTTTCGATTGACCTATGCGATGTTTCAGTTTCGTTCGCCCATGAATGTATTGGTAGTAGGCAAATCTTCACTATTGAACGTTTTAGTATTCCATTCTTCGTCTTGATTGTAACCACTCGAATTAGTCCATCTGGACCGGGATGAGTTTCGATGATGCGACCCATCAGCCATCTGCTTGGTTTCTTTTTTTAGGAGGACTAAGTCTCCAAATTTCACGTTTTCATGCCTTTTAGTCCATTTTGGACGTTGTTGAAATCTGCCCAAATATTCGCGACTCTAACGGGTTCAAAAGGTTTGATACAGAATATCTTCTGAAGAAAATAAATAACTTTGACATATAGTGCACGAAATATATTAGCAAAAATAAAATAAAGAAAAAAGAAAAGTATTTTATTCCGAATAAAAGGAAGTTTTCTGGTATGAAAATCTGGCATGATGGTTTTATTGGTATGAAAATACCAATAAAAAAAAAAAATTATATTTCGGAAAAATTATCAACCATTGAAGAATTTTTTGAGTTTGATACAGCCTTTGAAGCAGTTGCCATCTGTTCAATCGATTTTCAACAAGATCTAAGATTGAAGGTTCAGGTGGCGTAACAATTACATTGCCAATCAAAAATGCCCAGGTGTTAGAGCCATATAATCTTCTGGATTTGTGCTGATTTTGCCTAAAGTTTAGACAGGCTTCAATTTGAGCTAGAACATTTGTCAATTCTTCATAAGTTAATTTAATATTGCCGAGTACTCTCCTTAAGTGTTTCTTGGTAAATCGTATCTTGGATCCAGCCTCCCACAGACCGCTGAAATGAGGTTAGCCCGGTGGTATAAAATGGAATGCTACACGTTCGTCTTCGTGCGACTGCGCCAACTCGCCCTTTAATTGCTGTAGCATTTGTTTATGTTGTTTGGCAATTTCCTTATTGGCTCCAACAAAATTAGTGTCGTTGTCACAGTAGATTCCTTGACATTTGCCACGGCTGCTGCTAAATCGTCTGTAAACCGCGAGGAAGCCTTCACTACTAAGATCCGTCACCAGTTCTATATGTATGGCCCTTACTGATAGGCATATAAAAATTACAATATATGCCTTAGGATTTTTACCTTTGTTGGTTTTGATTTCAAAAGGCCCGCAATAGTCAACTCCAGTATGTCTGAATGGTCGTGCAGCCCTGACTCGAAAAGCTGGCAAATCACCCATTAATTGGGTTTGAACTCACGCATTTGTCGAATTTGGTTTCATGCGTCAATAATCCAATAGTTGCTATTTAAAACGTTCAACATAAGTTGGACGCCACCATGTAAGGTTTCGCGATGAACTATTCCAACAATAGTCGCAGAAAAGGACTTTTATCGGGAAGAATAATAGGAAATCTTTCATTGTAATTCAATTCCGAGCAACGTAATCGATCTGTCATGCGCAATATTCCATTTTTCTCTAAAAAAGAACTTAGTTTTGACAGACTACTATTTCCATTTATCACTTTTCGGTTTTCAAGCTGTAGTATTTCATGCGCAAAATGATGCTTTTGAACAATGTGTATCCATGAAAATACACTTGCATTGAATTCTGTTGCTGTTATAAAAATGCTACCCTGCTTAACTTTCTTAACAACACTCATAAATCTTCTCACAAAGCTAGTTACTCGTATTAATTTTTTAAATGTTGACAACCTATTTTGTAACCCTAGAATGTTGTTATCGAGATGATCGTTGGTGCTCTCACAAGTGGTTCTATAAGGCCAAAATTGTTCAGGCATGCTCAACCATTCAGATCCGCGCCACCATAAATCCAGATTCGGCTGTTCTGAAGGTAGAACACTCCGCGAAGCACAATCTGCTGAGTTCTGCTTTGACGATACATGTCGTCATATATTTTTTCCCAATAAATGGTGGATCTCAGCAGTTCGATTTACCACAAAAGTAGTCCATTTACTTGGATGCTCTTCAAGCCAGGCCAAAACAATCTGGGAATCTGTCCAGGCCCGTACCTCTGACCAGCTCGTAATTTTCAAAACGCGGATCATCCGTTTTATTAATTTTGCTAACAATGCTGCTCCACTTTTGACTTTGCCGTCACCAGACTAATTTTTCTGTTACCACTTTTGTTTGTGACTACCAAATAGACCATTGTCGCATACGCTGTAATTAAAGCATCACAAAAGCCACGTAGTTCTTTTTGCCGTCGAGGTGTAACTGAACCATCTAGTAATCTGGATCTTTTCCAATCCCATAAGAAGACCTGTAGTTCTGCCATTCATCCTGTAGGACCTTTTCCAAATCACCGTCCCAGCCCGAACGAGACAGCTATAATTTCTGTATCATTATCTTAGCTAAAATGATACAGGGTGCCAGCCAACCAAGGGGATCGAACCACTTAGACACTTCTGATAGAACTGATCGCTTGGTCCATTTCGAGACTCTATCCTCCAATTTGGTATTTTTATGCGAAAAGTAGTCATTAGCTGGGTCCCATTGCACTGTCATCAAATGGTACCGCATTTGATGACCACTTACGTAACAAAAATCCACCCGAAACCATCATGTTGATGAGCTGTTTCTGAAGTTGTAATGCTTCTTCAAGTGAATCTGCGCCAGATAGCAATTCGTCAACATAAAAGAACTCTAATGTTGCCTGCAATGCCAGAGGATATCTGATCCTTTTATCTGTAGTTAGCTGCTTTAACACTCGCGTAGCTAAAAAGGGTGCAGATTTAGTGCCAAAAGCCACGGTAGTTAATTTATAATCACAAATAGGTTGTCTAGGAGATTCTCGCCAAACTATTCGCTGATAATCGGTGTATTTAGGTGCAAGTTTGATTTGCCTATACATTTTTTGGCTGTAAAGGCAACTTTATATTTTCGAAATTGGAGCAAAAGAGTGGCCAGAGTCGTCTTGGATGACTGGGACCTTCATCATCTTGTCATTCAAGGATGAGCCGTTGGATGTAGGTCGCGACGCATCGAAAACAACTCTTAATTTCGTGGTGGAATTACTCTCTTTGATGACACCGTGATGTGGCAAATAATTGGAAATGACTTTTTGATTTTCATTTCTCAACTTGATTGATTCCTCATTTTGCATGCGGTTCATGTTGCTATACTCATTATTACATTTGATATAGTCATCTTGGAATTGTTAATTTTTGCAGAACTGATTTTCCATACCGAAGAGTCTGGCAACTACAATGTGTCTCGAACTTCCAATCTCAATTATGTCTTCTTCTATAAGTGGTAGCTCCACCTGGTATCGTCCGTCTGCAGCCTTTGAATATGTACTGCAAAAATGTTTCTCGTATGCTAGCTCCTCTTCAGTCATCATTTTATTTTCCAATATTTCCTGAAGATCCCATGTACAAGCGGTCATCATGTGTCCAGGCTTCAAACAATTCATGCAAAGCCTCCTAGTTTTTACTGCCTCCAATCACTTAATTTGACCCAATCTTGAAAAGGCTTTACACTTTCTTATCGTATGCGCGGCTCGACAAAACGGACATGTAGCACCATTACTCGTTAACCCAGATGTGGCAACATGAAATGAAGTGCTGTTTTTATTCCTGGATGAGTCATTCTGTACTTGACTCCCTGAACCTGCAAATAATTTTCTAGCTACTATGACCTAAAAAGTGCGGAACCTTGTTTCCAAAAAATTTTCCAGTTGTCGCCAAGTTAGTAGCTGTTTTTCGAAACTGATGCTTTGTTACCAAAGCTGATGCGTTTCCATTGGTAACTTCGGGACTATGAGGTACACTGTATTTTAATCCCAGCCTTCCTCATCAATTTGTAGATTTGTGAAGGCCTGTAAGCATTAGTTGTGTCTAATGGCATCCTCATTGGACTCCCCAGTAAGATGCAACTTTAGACATTGTAATTTATGTACTGCCGGAAGAGTTTCATTATTGTGTACCAGGGACCTAAATGTTATCCATGTTATTCTCTATGTATTTAATCTATTTATTTATAAATAAGGTTCCAGGTACTCAGATCACATCCGTAACAACTAGATCCGAAACAAAATCAAGGGTAAAAGCTCGAAAAATCCAGCACAGGCAAATTAAAAATGCTAATTAAACACTCAAAATAATATCTTTTTTTTCAAATGTAAATATATTTTTCTTGTTTATCTTTATTAAAACGTTTTATAATTAATAAATTTAAATTAGTATGAAAAGTTTTTTTTTTTATTTTTTTAAATATTAATTGAATTCAATTTTATCCATAAAGTTTTATTTGCAAAGCCCCGTGCAAGTGTTTATTGAAAAATCTTTAATATTTTTTCTTTTTCTTTCACTAAAAAACTTATTGATAATAGTTTATTATGCCCAAAAAAATTTTTTTTCCTTTCATTAAAAAATATTATTAAGCACTGAAGAAGAGGACAAAAACGTATTAAAAAGAAAATGTAGTCACAAAAAACTTTCATTCCAAATGTCTACCATTAAATTTCTTCTTTCCAAACTTGTTTAAACCGCAAAAAAAAATTATTGTAGACAGATCCAGTCAAATCAAATCCGCCACCAAAATTTGTTTAAAAAAAAATTTAAACCAAAATATTTCTAGAAAGAAAGAAATTCTTATATTCGAAAATTTCGAGTTCAACTTTGCCTGTAATTTAAAAGAAATAATAGAAAAAATGGAACGAATTCACCATAATCTCTTTTTTCCTCTTTTCTGGGTCCAATCTTTGTTTGCAATTCGCGCGAGTCGCGAAACCGATGCCGAAACCGCTTTTCACCCTTACACTACAAAATAAAAAAAATTGTTCAAAGTTTAGTCTTTTTCTTTTTATGTTCTACACCAAATTTATTATAGTTTTTTTTTTTGCTTATTTTTTCGCAACCCTTTGGTGTGCCACCACTAGTTTATTATATATTTCATAGAATTTTCTAATTTCGCACCAATAGTTTTGTAATTTGTTTTATGTCTTTTAGCTTGTTTCACTAAATCTTTTTCTTTTATATAAACTTAGTTTCTTTTACACTACACTGCTTTATGTTCTTTTTTTTTTTTTCTTAGTTTTTTTTTGTTTTCTTTCTTCTCTTTTTTTTTTAAAGCCGCGAATTTTCAATATATATCCGGCTCGAAGGACCAAAAATATTAGGCGGCAATTTGCGCTTATATTTATACACAAGAACCACCAATACAAACCAATAAAAATTTTATTATTGCCTTTTTCCAAGCACCAGTTATTATTTTCCTTTTTTTTATACATATAAAATAATTATAAAAAAAAAACAATTTCCCTTCTTTTTCTTTCCAATTCATGTGTTAACAATTTATTGATCCCATTAACAGAATATATTTACTTTTCTTTGACTTTGACTTTATATAAACTAAGTATATAATTTCAACATAAAATTTTAAATGTATAAGCTCGATGCGACGGTTTTTCTAATACTGTCGTGTTGATCTGGAATCTTCCATCCTATTTGTAGATCCAGAAACGATTTATTCAAACGGTTGTGCAACGGTGATACACCTAGCCAGTCCCACTTTTTTGTTGATAACGTTTTCTTGTATATAAAACAGACGACGCATTTTACTATACTTATCAATGCGCGTGATTTGTTGTTGTACTTTATATTATTATATACAATTTTTCCCCTTCTCATATATTTTTCATTTAATTCGCTCGTTCTTTTCATATTCCACCACATTTGACAAATAGCTGAGATGATTTGTTTTGATCGATTTCTCCATGCAGCAACACCGATTCAACTAAACGAAAGCTGTTGAACGAATCTTTTTTGTCTGGAAAATCTCAATCTTTGATTTATAAAAAATAAACAAAGTGTTATGTGGTGTAGTGTTCTAGTTTTTTTTTCTTGCGAAATTAGAAAATTATGGAACAAAAGTTCCATTAAAATTATAAAAAAAAAATAAAATTAGAGATCAACCACGAAAAAATGAATGACTGCGTTGGACTAGAATACTCAGGACTGGAGTGATTGCAAACCTGCCATATATTCAACAGGCAAGTTGGAGTTTCCTTTATATTTGATCAAATATATGTACATATGTAATGCGCTTTAATGAGCTTCAATTTTAGGTTCAGATGAAAACTTGCGCAGTTGGATGCATATTGAATTCGTCAGATAAGTACCATCATGTTATTGTTGTGAATGTTGTATTCTTTGTTGTTTTTTTTTCTTTTTAGGAAAAAATATGTGCCTGTGACGTTACGACGGAACAAACTGCCAAATATTTTTATGATATCATCCCTAACCACTTTTATTATAAAATTAATATTATATGCAAAATTTAAAGAATATACGAAACAGCCAAACGATATACATAAATCAAAATAATAAAATAAAAAATATAACTCTTATATGAGTATGATCCAAATAATAAAACAAATGATATAACTCCTGAAGCTCAGGAGACGTTCCATATTCTATATAGGCTATATTTTCCCTTACACCAGAAGAACAAAAAAATTAAAAATTTGATTAATAAATTAAACGTTGCGATGAAGCTCTTAAGCTCATATTTTGTTACGAGTACAGCGACCAACTTGTACGAGCTCATATTTTGTTACGAGTGCAGCGGCAGTTCCCTACTGTCCTAGAATACATAAATGTTACGCTTTTTATATCCGCTTTCTAAGTTGACTCTCACACTGACCCCTGTTCTATGTATTTCAGTTTGCCACACCGTGCAATACGGACTCAGGCTCGCATACATAGGCGTGTCCAGAAGATCTTTAGCCAAGCTTCCTTCATTAGTGGAGTTGCAGTAGTGGCAAGTCAATCATAACCTTCAACGCAGTGGTAGCAAACATTATTTCAAGGTAGGCCAACCTCCGATGTTTCTGCAACTCGGCCTGCGCACTCGTCTGTCCGACCCTGCGGCACCAAGCGAACGATGCGTGATGAACTCAGTACACAAAGAGCTGTTTGGAACTTCTTCCCTAATTGCATTTACGAAAAACGGCCTGTTATCCTCATTCACAACCTTCAATTTATTAATATGCATAAATTGAAGTAAGCACTTTCCTTCTTTATTAATATCAGTACTCCCCAGATGACCGATGGCCATTGGCGTCACTTTCTGTTATAAACTGGAAATTCGTTCTTCCACAGAAGATCACTAGATCGTTCATGTGTTTGTCTGGATGTGCAACATGACCCACGAAATAACTCAAAAGTATTATTTAAAAATATTGATGCGAACAGCTATTAACCAAGTTGTAATGTTATTAACTTATAGTAAGGGAAATTGAAGTCCATATTTTTTTATACCCTACACCTACGTATAGGGTATATGATCTTATGAATGGAGTTTGTTTCCTTGAGGGAGTCATCTGCGGTGTGGACATGTATATATATTCTTGCTCAGCGTAAAATTCTGCGTTGACTTAGATAAGTCCGTCCATCCTACGATCGCAACTCAAAAACGAATAATACGATCGACACCAAACTTTCACAATCTTCTTCTTTTGTGCCAGGGACGAACCCTATTGCAATTAGACCGGATCGAACACCAGGTTCGGGCAGCTATCATACAAGTCCAAAAAGGTTAATTTTGAATATTTGGAAAAATAATAAAGTCAGATTCACGAAACTTGGCATTCATGTGTCCAAATGTAGGTTATATCCGTGAAGTTTCTATAGAATGGTTTCCCAGTTTCGATTAATTGCTATTTAACAATGAAAGGTGCAGGACATAATTCAATCGGTTTATGCCTTTTGCAACGTTTTTTCTTGTTTTTATTTAAAGTACGGTTTTTGAACAGCATTTTAATGTACCTACATACATACATATAAGGAGATGAATATGTCGGTAAACATAATATGATCAGAAAAAAACGTCAATTATTTTTATGAGTTTCTTTAATATTTTAAGGTGTTTTTTGATCATCATAACTAGATCCTAAACTTTAAAAAAAGTATAAACTTATATGAAGTTTCGTGTGAAAAATATTATTGTAAGTTTAAGTTTTAATTGTAATATTTTACTATTGTTTTGTTTTTTTGTTTATATTTTAATATTGTTTATGAGTATTGGAACGAAATGAACGATTGAACGAGATTTTCTATTCGGTCAGTGAGAAATAAATAATTCGTTCAGAACGAGTCACTAAAATGAACGATATTGCCCATGACTAATTTAAATTAGCAACTGATTCGGTCACTTTCGTGTGTATAAAATTTCGTTTATTTTACTTCTCATTTGCTTTTATTAATATTCCCTATAGGAGTATGTCGTTCGTTTTTATAAGTATTGGATTTAGTATATCGTTTAATTTTACTTGTATTGTATCTATATAATAGCAACTGATTCGGTCACTTTTGTGTGAACAGAATTTCATTTATTTTACTTCTCATTTGGTTTTATCAATACTCAATACAGGAGTATGTTGTTCGTGTTTATAAGTATTAGACTTAGTACATCGTTCAATTTTATTTGTATTGCGTAATATTAATATAGAAACAAATAAAGAAAAATATAAAATGTACATCAATTACTAATGAATATGTAGCAATTTTTTTTAATAATTAAAGAAGAAAATTGGAATTCTTAGTGAACGATTCATTTTTGAAGAAGTGAACTAATCATCTAAGTTCCGCGAAGTGGTTCGTTCTTTAAGGTTAGTTCGTTCGCGAACGACACGTGACTAATAATTTGTTTTATTTGAACATAAGTTTATTTTGATTTGAATAAAATTAAGAATGCTATCTTCCGGAAACTACAATTTCTGTTATTTTTTTTAAACAGGGAGGAGTTAACCCTATATAAACTTTAGATAAGTTTTATGCACATAATAATAAATTATGTAGTGCTTTTGGTGCTAACGTTGATTTAATTTAAATTTTATTTTGTTAATTGTAAAAATAAAATTGTTAAAAATCTCTTTATTTGATTTTACAGAATTTTAATTGCATTAAATCTATAAATTTTAGACTAAAATTCGTTGACATACTTTATTAATCTAAGTGAGGTAAAATAACTTCCCTTATTATCCAAGGGTTAGTATGCCAACATAAATGATTGACGTGCGACTTAGCGATGAGAATTAATTTTCCAGCCTTATCAAGTGTTTTTAAACCAATTTCGTCGTTTATGTAAATATCGCGCTCATAAAGAGGAACTACACTTAACGATTTGTTATAAAATCCAAAATGACTGTAAAGAAACTAGATAAGGTGGAGTAATTTCTCTTGTATTTTATAGTTTACCTTGACTCCCAAGGAGTAATAACACCGTCATTTGGTCCTCCGATTAAAATCATTTTGTTAAGCTTACTAATTCCATTTTTAAAATTTGTTGAATTTAAGGAGAAAATTTCATTATTAATGTATGGTAAAAATTTGCTGAATTTAAAATAAAGCTCTTGATTGAAAGGATCATTCCAGTAACCGCCAATTGACGTGTGTTGACCTATGCGGGAATAGAAAAGTTCAAAAGCTTCTTTCGCGACCAAATTGGGAAAAATAAGACGTAGAAAACTATCTAAAATAGTAACAAAATAAATTTCTCCCTTTTGTAGTTCTGTATTACGTTTACAAACCACCATACTGCCCTGCTTGGGGTGATGACAGTGATATAAAGTTTTTTATATTATGTTGCGGATATGATTGTATGGCAGCTCTTCCTAAAAGCCCACCTTGTGAATATCCTATAAAGTGCACTCCCTCATGGTGCAAAGCGTTTATTTCTTCTAAATATTTTTTTAACTCTCTAACTTGTCTCCAAGACGATTCTAAACTATTCCAATATGGAAATTTTCCACAATTATAAACTTTCGTCCCAGGGTGAAACTATAATTCTATAATTTACATCACATATGCTACAAAAATTTACTTTTCTTACTAATTTTATTGTTTCTTCTAACAATACCATATTTTCAGAACCTGAAAGTATTCCATGAAATAGGATAACTGGCTTATAACAACTCGTTAAACCAATTAGCAATAGTAAAATGGAAAATGTTGTGTAGGAAGCCATTTTCTTTTAACAATTATTCGAGTCAGCAACAATTTTTAGCAAAAGACTAAAAAACTAAACTTTTCTAAAAAAATTTTTAGCAAGATTAAAAAATTAAATTTTTAAATTTCAATTGTGGCAAGAGGAAGAATCTGAAAAATAATATGCAAAAGAAATATCACATTTCGATATTACTCATTTTCAATCGATTATTAACTTTTACAAATTACTGTGACAGCTAGCTTTGCATTACGAAAGTATAAATAATATATTTCATATAAAATATTTATAATATAAATTTAAAACATATTATATATATATAAAATAATTCATTCAAGATACCGGACTTTAAATTAGTCCGGTTATTTTAGTAAAAGAGTTATCTTTGTCATGTGAGCGTGTTTTTTTCACCAAAAAACATTTAATTTTTTAGGTACATATTGATACCCTAATCTAATAAGCATATAAGTCATTTATTTGCTAAAATATTTGAATTATGTATATAATGAACGAATTAGAAATAATAAAGGAAGGAACATCTTGAAAAAACAATGAAGCCAAATTTTTTTAGTTGTTTCTTTCTTTGCTCATAGCATTGTCAAAGTCGTAACAGGAATGTATTTATTTTATTTTTTTGTCTGGCTTCTACTATAAAATATGTGCAATTTATAACAAGGATAAGTTAAATATTTTTTTTAAAGTTAAAACTAACAAATATTTCAAAATATTTCTCCATTTTAAAAATGAAACAAATTTAATCAATGACAAAAATAAAACAAACTTAAACATTTTTATTATTTGTTTTTCTCTTTGAATAAATTATTTTATAAATGGCAAATATTTAGAAGTATTTTAAAATCACAATATTTTATGACCCTCGAAAATGAACATATTTTGTTTTAATGATTTTAGAACAGTATAATTTTTAACAAATTTTAATTAATATAATGGTTATTACTCACTGAAATAGTTGGTATGTTGTCGTATTTTAACTATATATTTTTTAAATAATTCACGCTAATATTTTATTTACTTACTAAGTTCAACGCTATCGAGAAATATATTTCATTTGACCATTTTTAGCAATACTGTAATTATACAAAAAAAAAAGATAAAAAAAAATCCGGTCCTGGTAAAATTATGTTATCTGAAGTAATTTTACTTTAAAACAAAAAAAAAAAAAGGTTTCTTTGCAAAATCAAAACTCAATGAAATTACAAATTACAAATGAAGCAAAACACTATTGAATGAATATTTCTTGTAATTGTTGAAATGAATAATATTCACATGTATATGGTGTAAAAAAACTATTTGTTTTGGCAAATGGGAATAACAATTTAGAACTATACACCTTTTTCTTTTTCAATAAATTTTTTTCACTTGTTATGATTTTTTTTATAAGTTTTTATGAAATAATATTCTTTTTTTAACAATGTTTTATGATTTTTATTTACAAGCTGCACTAATTTTATAAATAAAATAACAAAATCATCTTTGTTTACTTTTTATATAGCGGCTCGTAATTTTCTAAGAAAAAAAAACAACATATGACATTTAATGCTAATTTCAGTTTGACAATGCTCGGAGCAAAGAAAGAGACTTACCTAAAGTTTTTGGCTTCACCACGTTTTTTTTTAGGATACATTTTTTTAGAGAGTGTAAGAAAAATAAAAAAAAAAGATGTTTCTTCTTTTAGTATTTCTAATTCGTTGTTCATAATATAGGTAAAGGAGATATAAATACAAGTATTTCAACTTTAAAAACATGATTTTCCAAGAATAAAAGGGACAAAAATCATCTTTTAGTAATTATTATAATAATTCTTAAATCAAAGCAACCAAAAATCGTTTGAATTTTACGTTCCTTAGACATTTGTAAGGAGATATTAAGAGGTGCAAGTCGTAAGTAAATAAAATAATAATAAGTAACTTAAAAATATAGTAGTAAAATTTTACTACTGGACTATTCAGGAAAGTGTTAGAATACATTAAAAAAATAAAAACAATATGAGTTAGTAACAATGTAAAAATTTATGAAAAATTTTTATTATAATTTTTCAGTTTTAGCTCTAAAATTGTTGCATACAAAAAAAAATTTGTAGCTGTAATGCGATAAAATTTTCGCATATAAAAGAACAACTAGAGTGCGTTAAATTACTTTTTGTAGAATTTTTATTTTTTTAATTCGTTTTTTCATTTTTCCAAACAAATAATTTTTTAATTTATGACAAATAATTTATTATTTTTATACATATTTCAATTAATAAAGTAACTAATTTAATATGTATTCTTTAATTTACATATTTTTATATTCCATATGCAACAATTAATCATACTGTTTAAAAGATTACCATTTTGTATGAAAATTAAAATGCTAATAAGAGCTAAGTCATTTTGATTGCTATCAAATACAACGTAAACCATTTTATCAGTAAAATAACATAAATAAATATAAATGAACTTTAGGATTTTAAATATTTCATAATTTACTAATTTAAAAAAACTTAATAATCTTTCATATAAAATTATAAAATAAAATAATTTTTTTCATTTCTGAAAAGTTGGCTAAAATGACTTACGTAATGTTAGATAAGGTTTCGATATTTACTTATTTTAACATACACATATATACTTTGACGTTGTCAAAAAATTACTCATTTATTGTTCAATCAAGTTTTTTTAAAAGTAGCTTCTATTATTATTAATAACTTTGAATTACTACTTAAACTTTAATTTAAGATTTATTATTACTTAAACTTTAAATGATTTACTTAATTATTAAAAATAAATGAGCTATATTCTGCAATGCTAAAAGATGTGCTAATATTGTAGATTTATTAGCTAAATAAACTGGCTTCTGGATTATGGATTGGCAGTACATACAAAAATATTTTTCCCCCAAAATTGAAACAGTCTTAAATTCCCACTCTTAAATTCTGCTAGTTTATTTTACCACCGAAGGACATTATCTAAAAAAATTAATATTTTTACAAGGACATTTCTGTCTCATCATTAGCAATATTTTTATTTTTGTAATAAGTAAAGTATTTTGAGAAATAAGAAAAATTTTATAATTAAAACTTATAAGCTAAAATAATCGAAAGGTAGATATTTAAAAAAATGAAATACTTGGAAATCACACATGTAAATACACAACATAAGCATCTATATGAAATTATGATACAGATGAATTATGATACATTATATATTCAAAACCTGATTGTAGGCAAAGTTGCCGCACGAAGAGAAAAAAATTACGATTTACGTTTTGAAAACCTACCTAGTTAAAAAAATGTTACCAAAATAACAATGTGATGCTGTTATATAAACAAAAGTACAAAAACTCTAATCTGGTAACCGCAAAGTTATTTCTTAGATTTTTGTTGAAGAATCCAAATTTCAAGAATTTCATTCAAAAAAGTTTTAAGTTTTAAATTTTCCTTCAAAAATTTAAGGAAGTCAATAAGCTTTTAGGTTAATTTTTTTGACAATTGGGACTCCCATTTATTATAATATTTACTAACGACGACTGAAAACAACATTTTTTTTCTTTAACAGTCTTTAATAGGAAAAATGTTATTTTCAATATTAAAAAGACTTTTGTATGCAAACAATAATTTTTTTTTTGGTTTAAAAATATAACAACTGATCTTAGTATCAGTAGGAATGCTTGTGGTAAGTGTCCACTAAAATCCAGTACAAATCCAAAAGTGTCTAATCAAGAGTAGACGGCTGTCTGGTTTGCGACTGATCCTTGAGGGATGGCAGAAATTGGGCGTGTTGCCTTGCACGAGGTATTTATTGCCAAAGACTAGGAGAAGTAAACTCCGAAATAAAATAAAAGCAATGCAATGAACAAAACAAAAGGATTTTATACCCCGGGTGGTAATACAGTAAATCTGAAAAATCCACACTTCGGAGGCTGGTCTCATGGATTCTGGGGGAAACCAATTATTGCATCAAACCACTACCGACCCTTTTAAAAGAACACCTCAGGCCATGCGGACACCATCATGTGGTATAAGCAGAGAACTTATGTCCAAAAGGCGACAAACAGAATAATACCAATATGAATGCAGTTAATCAAATAAAAAATCAGAAAACTGATAACTGCCACTTAAATATAAGAATAAGTGAACCAGAAGCGCTTTGTAAAGAATTACAAAATAAAATCCAGTATCTCAGAGAGGAAAATAATAAGCTAATCAAGCAATGTACTCGTAAATACAATAAAAGAAATAAAAACGGAAAAAGTTACGACAAACAAAGTGGAATACTACACAGATGAGGAGGATCTGGCTCGGGAAACTGATTGAATTCTCAAGAAAAAAAGCAAAAATCGAAGAGCAGATATTTCACCTGAAATAAGTCCTGAGGACAAGGTGACCAAAATAGAAAAATCTGTGCACATAAATGAACCCAAGAAAGATCAAACACTACAAGAAAGATCAAACCCCCTCCTGTTATATTAAGCAATGTGGAGGAATATTCAAAAATAAAGAAGATGCTCAAAGAAACCAAAATAAACTTTAAGGTCGACATAATGAATAATAATCAACTTAAAATCAATGTTGATCAAGAACAAAATTACAGAGAATTAACATAAAAAATAAATGAATCTAGAGTAGAGGGGCATACCTATGAAAATAAAATGGTAAAAGTTAGGGGATTGTATCTTTCGTGCCAACCTGAATATAGTAAAAATGAGCTAAAAGAGGGGGCTTTAGAGTTCTTGAACTCATTAATTAAATTGGAAAGCAGAATAAAGAAAACGAGATCACTATAATTCGACTTCCCCTTCTTCATGTTAATTTTTGAAAATTGGGAGAACATAAATAAAATTTACAAAATAGATGTACTTTAGGATATGAAGATTAAAATTGAGTCATTAAGGAGAAATAATTTGGTTTCTCAGTGCAGAAAGTTCAGAGATATGGACACACACCGAGGTTTTGCCAGCGTCTGGCTCAATGTGTCAAATGTGCTGGTCTTCATTTAACGATAAATTGTAATAAGCAAAAAATCGAAGCTCCAATTACAGGGGTTGTTTAGTCGCAAAGGAATTGCAAAAAAAGAAAAAAAACCTTACAAAACATGAACAAATAAAAATAATACAAAAAAATACTCCCAAAATTTCCAAAAACCCCAAAAACAACTACATTGAGTAAAAGAGTACAGGGAATACAATAGGCCTAAATGGCGAGAGGTGAAACATATAAT